TAATGTCACCTGTGGACCCCAAAAGAAGCTGATGAAGCAGAGGTCTGCTTTATCAGCTTCTTTTCTCTGGTTATAGCAGCCAGATGACTGACAGATGAATGCGGAAGTGATGTAATACACATCACTTCTGCATTCACAGCACGGAGGGAGATCAGCAAAGAGCTGGCGCCCTCCCGAGCCGGTCCCGGGCCGCAGATGGGCTAGCGGATCCCGGGATTGATGGTGAGGGGTTAGGAGGAGGGCGGTGGCGGCAGCAGACGAGGGGGGGCACACACGATCGGCTGGCTATAGAGCCCATCAATCACTGTTAGCACTAAACTGATGAGCGGTAAAAGCATTTAAAGTGTTCCCTATGGGAAATTTTGGGTATTGACTTTTTATGCCACTTCACGGGCGAACGCAATTTTAACGCTTGACATGTTTGGTATCCATTTACCTGACGTGATCCCGTCTTTCATATTTTACCAAAAAATTGGGTATTATATTAATGTTTATGTGCGCTAAATTTTAAAAATTGGGAGTTAATTTTTTCCTAAAAATACTGGTTTGATAAACATTTGCGCAAAAACCGCGCAACATAAAAAATTGCAACTAGCATTTTCTTATTCTACAGGGCCTCTGCTTTCAGAACATATATAATTGTTTGGGGGTTTGGAGCTGTTTGCTAGCCAAAAATGTATATTTTATCATGTGTGCACAAATAGTGAGAAAATGCCCCAGGCAGCAATTGGTTAAATTACAGCACTTTGCGGCATGGAGTAGAGCCGGGATACGTAAAGTGGACCAGCTATACAGTGACTGTTCTTTACGCTTCTCCCATTTAGTGTCTCATTATCACATCCATAACACACACTTTTTCCAGTACTTTCAAGTGCAGCATGCCCTCTCGTCTCAATTTGGGGTAGCTCCCCACCTATCTGTCCCACTCAGGTTTTGGACTCACTGGTTCAGTCAACACACAAGAAGGGAATTATTTTGTTTCTATACTCTGTTAATTCCTTCTCACATACAATGACTAGAGAGAGATAGGTGGATTCAGGATATCGGACCTATTCCTGATGAGATCTGGGAGGACATCCTCCATAATGTACTCTTGACCTCACTATCCGCGCCTCACCCAGCTTTTCATTTTACATAGATCTGGTTAAAATTGGTGTCTGGGATGACCCGTCTTGCCCGAAATGTGGATTCCACCAGGGTTCACCGATACATCTAATATGGCGTTGCCCTAAATTGGTTAGGTATTGGAGCCAAATAATTACACCGATTAATTCTGTCTTTGACGTCTCCCTTGCCTTGTCTCCGCGTACCTGCCTCTTAGGGGGAATAGATCCTCCCATTTTGTCTACCCATTTGAGATCAGCTATCCATAGAGCCTTATTTACTGCCAGGAGACTTGTTGCACACAAATGGATATCACTCCCCACCTTCTGTTTCAGAGTGGATAATTGAGCTAGATGGGATCTTTGCCTTTGAAAGGGTAACGTACCAAAGGAGAGGGCTTGATCGTAAATTCTCCCCGATTTGGTCCTCTTGTTTACACTTTAGATCCCTGGAGTCAATGTTTCTTGGTTGTTTCCCTCTGGTAATCTCCATGAGTATATACTATGTCTCCCATTGTCAATGCATCCCTTACCTGTGCAGGTGTCCGGTCTATTTTCTATACCTGAAATGTTGGTTTTATAACTGTATTGCTGTGTTCTAGGGAATACTCTTGTCCTCATGATGGGATGTGCTTGGTCGATACTTGGTGATGTTTGTTTGTCTGTTGATCTATGTTATTGACTGTTTACAAAAAACTGTCAGATTTTAAAAAAATACATTAAAAAAAAGCTTCTCTAAGGCTGGGTTCACACCTAGGCGGATTGAATATGCACATTTTTTGCGCGTTTTTTTAACCACGATGTGTGGTAAAAAAACCGCGCAAAAAACGTTTCCGAGGGATACTGGGCTGTATCCCAATGGAGCCGCCCGACCAAAACGCCCCAAAAGAAGTACATGTACTTCTTTGGGCGTAGGGCGGTTTCCCGCATGTTCGTACTCGCGGAAAACCGCCCAGATGGGAACCATGCACATTGAAAATAATGGCATTTCCCTGTTTGAGCGTTTTTCCGCGAGTACGAAAGCGCGGAAAAACGCCTAGGTGTGAACCCAGCCTAAGGGCCCATTCACACCAGCAGACGTGCTACAGCCACAACGCATTGGGTGTGAACGTGACCGTAGCAGGAATAAAAATGTAAAAGACAACGCCATTGTCCTAGGACACTAGCAAAAAAACTGAAGCAGGCATGCTGTGGAAGGGGTTATACAGCTGGTCTTGGTTAGTCAGTGTCCAAATCTCCCTGTGGACCGCTGAATATCTAAAGTTATTGCTCTGCTTCCTTACCACATTATTGAGTGCATTCATGTCACAGAAGTGTTCCACAAGGAGTCGACACGCCTCTTCCACTCCCCAGTGAGCAGCAGCATGAAGAGGAGTCCAGCCATCTTTATCTCGTACATTGGGGTCAAAATTGGCCTGAAGCAAAAGCCTGGTCAGAAAGTGTGAATAGAATAAGTCCACTGGAAAGCTCCACATATATCAAGTATCAAACATTTTCACATTATGCAAGAATACCTCATAACTTCTATATAGCCTTTGGCTGCTGCCACATGAAGAGCACTAGCTCCAGTCTTCGGATGCCGAATATCTTCTATCTTGCCTCCGTTTAACCACTGGCGGGCATCCTGGAGCATCACTTCTTCCTCTTCCCTCTTGGCTAACACTGTGTCTATTCCTGCAACAGAATTACATTTCTCAGCACATCAAACATTTATAGCAATAACTGCATGAAAATTACATTGGAAACAACTTAAACCACATTTTAAATCAAGGAGGACATTTAAATAAAGCATACAAATGTGCTATCCTCCTATTTACATCCAGTGGCCATTCTCCTCTAGAATTGGTCATCACTGAGCTAGCAACTTCAGAGTCAAAAGTTGGGCATGCACTGAGTCACATTGTCTAACAGATTAGAGAACAGAAGCTAGAATACACCACTTGTAAGTCCTATTTGTCCTCAGAAATTATAGGCAAGCGGAAAAAAAAATTACCTGAGTGAATTAATTTTCTACTACTACTCCTGGAATGTGCACCACTGAAATTGCTGGAAAGTTCCTCCCAATCCAAGATTAAATGTACATCCGTTGCAGACAACACACTCCTGGTGCCTTTCTGGTGATTGATATATTCTATCGTCGTAGCATTGTCTGACTGTATCTGACCTATGGGTTTACACTTATATTCCACTTATTGCACTTGTTTATTGTAAAGTTTTCAGAAATATTAGATTTATAGCACGGCACTTATACATGAGACTTGTCCCACACTAAGAATGTTCTTCCGTAAAGTCCTGGAATTGAACTGCACAAATGGTACCACTTTGAAGGTTGACACCATCAATCCTAGTATTCTCATGCAGGTTCTCAGAAATGAACGGAGAAAGGATCGAAACAACCGAACTTGACCCACAACGTTAATATTTTGTTCTGAGGAAGGAATACTTTTGCATGAAGGTTATCCAACAGAAGACCCAAATACTCCAAGAGATATGACAGAACTAGGGATGAATATATGTTTAGATATTGAGTTCATAAGTAGGAAGAGACTTTTCTCAGAGTAAAGGTCACCTAAGTATCTTAAAATTGGAATGCCTTTGCGATTAAAAAAATCCCAGAACCAGAGCAAGAACTTTTGTAAAACAAAAACAAAAAACCTCGGAGCAGAAGTCATTGTGAAGAGAAGAGCCAAAAATTGATAATGAAGGTAGCCTACCAAAAACAAAAGGAAATACTGATGAATTGGAAATACAGGCACATGTAGATACATATCCTTAAGGTCTATGGAAACCAAAACACCTCCTAGTCTAAGAAAGGCGACAACCAATGCAGCAAGTTTTGATGTAACAAATAGCAGCCAGATTGTGAGCAAAGAGAAAATTCTATGCACTACCAACAGCTTGAAATGCATGTTAAAAGGAGAACTATGAGGTGAGTGCTTTTCACTCACCTCATAGTTCTAGCCGACCTGTGACAATGAGACTGTCACAGGTCGGCTCAGTAGATCGGGAAGTGAGCGAACACATACCGGCGTTTACTCACTTCTCGATCCTGTCACGGCTCTCTGCCGTCATAGGGGAGGGGCTGGATTCCCCGCACCGATCCTCCAGCGCTGACTGGCGGAACGGACGGGGGAGGGGGCGGGCACAGCTGGCTCTGCCTCTAGATAGGCAGAGCCAGCTGTCACTCACGCAGCTGGGCATCTCAGTATACCGCTAGCTGTAGCTCGCGGTATACTGCGGCGTCTCAATATACCGCGAGCTGTAGCTCTTGGTATACTGAGCTTAGGGTGACTGGAGGACGCTAGTTTGTGTCCTCCCGTTACCCTAAGGAGAACAATGGGGAAAAGCCCTAACCCCATAGTTCTCCTTTAACAAATGCTAAAAGTCCAGCAAACAAAACTGGAACTTTTACTACCCAAGGAGGAGTATGATTTTGTGGGGATATCGGAAACCTGGCTGGATAACTCACATGACTGGGATGCTGAGTATTAGGGAGTATTCATTATTTCGACAAGATAGGGAAGGAAGAAGAGGAAGTGAATGTGAGTGACGATATAGCCTATGAGATTGGGGATACTGCTGAATCTTTATGGTTAAAGATGAAAATAAAATAAAATTACTGGTGAGAATATGCTACAGGCCCCCAAACATAAGGGAGGAGAAGAAGACTCCAATTAGGGCTGCAACTTATTATTTTCATAAATCGATTATTTTGGTCAATTCATTGTATAAAAAAATTACACAATTGCAGTGTTACACACAAAGTTTACTTCAGAATAAAACTGCATGCACAATCTTTTGCAATCGCACTGCACTGGAACGCACAGCATTCTGGTACCATGCGTTCCAGTGCAGGCAATCACAATGTGGGTGGGAGGCGCGTTTGGGGTGCCATTGAAATTAATAACACTGCAACGCACCTCCCGTAGCAGAATTTGTCAGGCTGAAATCGAAAATGACTTTTTTCCCCACCTTTTATAAATAGCTTCAGCCAGGGAATGACTGCTGCCAGTGGCAAGATTCCACAGACGGCAGCGAAATTCAGAGTTAGGACTTAACGGTAAGTCTATTTCCATTAGTCTTCCAGGACAGCATCACGAGATGGAATCTCCTCCCCCACACACAGGTCACTTAATTTGCTTAAAAGACCCTCCTCTCCTCCACTCCCTCAGTCATCACGAGAACCGAAGGCAAGCTGGATAAAGACAAGGCACATACAGGCAATACCACCACATCACATTAATACTACAAGCATCAATGGGCGGGCAGTTGCTGTCCTGGAAGACTAATGGAAATAGAGTTACCGGTAAGTCCTAACTCTGAATTTCCCATAACGTCTTCCAGGACAGCATCACGAGAGGATAACCAAGAACTTACCAATACCCCGCACCGATCCTCCAGCGCTGACTGGCGGAACGGACGGGGGAGGGGGCGGGCACAGCTGGCTCTGCCTCTAGATAGGCAGAGCCAGCTGTCACTCACGCAGCTGGGCATCTCAGTATACCGCTAGCTGTAGCTCGCGGTATACTGCGGCGTCTCAATATACCGCGAGCTGTAGCTCTTGGTATACTGAGCTTAGGGTGACTGGAGGACGCTAGTTTGTGTCCTCCCGTTACCCTAAGGAGAACAATGGGGAAAAGCCCTAACCCCATAGTTCTCCTTTAACAAATGCTAAAAGTCCAGCAAACAAAACTGGAACTTTTACTACCCAAGGAGGAGTATGATTTTGTGGGGATATCGGAAACCTGGCTGGATAACTCACATGACTGGGATGCTGAGTATTAGGGAGTATTCATTATTTCGACAAGATAGGGAAGGAAGAAGAGGAAGTGAATGTGAGTGACGATATAGCCTATGAGATTGGGGATACTGCTGAATCTTTATGGTTAAAGATGAAAATAAAATAAAATTACTGGTGAGAATATGCTACAGGCCCCCAAACATAAGGGAGGAGAAGAAGACTCCAATTAGGGCTGCAACTTATTATTTTCATAAATCGATTATTTTGGTCAATTCATTGTATAAAAAAATTACACAATTGCAGTGTTACACACAAAGTTTACTTCAGAATAAAACTGCATGCACAATCTTTTGCAATCGCACTGCACTGGAACGCACAGCATTCTGGTACCATGCGTTCCAGTGCAGGCAATCACAATGTGGGTGGGAGGCGCGTTTGGGGTGCCATTGAAATTAATAACACTGCAACGCACCTCCCGTAGCAGAATTTGTCAGGCTGAAATCGAAAATGACTTTTTTCCCCACCTTTTATAAATAGCTTCAGCCAGGGAATGACTGCTGCCAGTGGCAAGATTCCACAGACGGCAGCGAAATTCAGAGTTAGGACTTAACGGTAAGTCTATTTCCATTAGTCTTCCAGGACAGCATCACGAGATGGAATCTCCTCCCCCACACACAGGTCACTTAATTTGCTTAAAAGACCCTCCTCTCCTCCACTCCCTCAGTCATCACGAGAACCGAAGGCAAGCTGGATAAAGACAAGGCACATACAGGCAATACCACCACATCACAACAGTGCCCCTCAACACCAAAGCATCCAAAACCAAGGGACCCCAGGTGGAGGAAAAGAAACATCAGAGGTAACAGGAAGGTAAGATAGTACACATCTTCCATACCTGAGCCGTGCTGGTGCTTGGAAGACCAGTATCCGCAGTCACTGCAAGCTGCAGGGGTAACCCAGGATCCATGTCCGCAGAGCCTGTTGAAAAGAAGCCTGCCAGCGTTTCTTCTCAGTCACTACTGAGATCCACGCTGTATTACGCACCAGCCGAGCCCTCCCCTTCCTCCTGCGCCGAAAACGAGGCTTGGAACGCACAAGCCCGGCGCCCGGAAATGACGTCACCCGCGCCGGAAGTGACGTACGCAGCCACCCTGTCTGGCCGTGGAACACGCTCCCGAGGCACTGAGAACCGGACAGACCCCTCAACGCTAGGAGAATCCCTGGGGCTCACACAAGGTAGGCAAACCTACACCCTCTGCCTTACACAGGCAGGCCATAAACAAAAGAAGAAGACTTCCCAGGCAGCATCACCACATGGAAGCCCCTCTCAGCATTCTGTGACGCGCTCCCCAGCTTGACTGAGGAAACACAAAAGACTGAGGGAGTGGAGGAGAGGAGGGTCTTTTAAGCAAATTAAGTGACGTGTTTCCTGTGTGTGGGGGAGGAGATTCCATCTCGTGATGCTGTCCTGGAAGACGTTATGGGAAATGTAAATACAGCAGGCAGGTTTCACATTGCAATAGCCAATAGCAAGCTGGCTTTTGCACCCGTTCACTGCTTGCTGTGCCTTCCTTCCAGCATGGAGGAGAGACCTAGGGGATCCAACCAACTAAATCGATATTGAGAATAGTTGACAACTATTCTCATAATTAATTATCGATCAATCAATTAGTTGGTTGCAGCCCTAACTCCATTACGGTCACAGATAAAGATAGCAGGGAGGCAAGGCAATGTCATAATTATGGAGAGCGTAATCTTTCATGACATTGATTGGGCAAATGAAACCTCAAACTCAAGTAAGGTCTGTCACTACTTGAACATATTTCAAGATAATTTTAAGGGTCAAATGGTGGAAACCCCAACTATAAAAAATTATTTATTGATTACAAACAGAGTTGATTCGAGACGTAGAAATTGGGGATAACCTTGGGAA